GTACACACACACACACACACACACACACACACACATATATATATATATATATATATATATATATAATGTGTGCATATGCATAATGCGTTATACATATACATGCACGCTTGTCGCGCATGCACACACGCACACGGATATTGTTGATCAGTGAACCGAAAATGATCGGAAAAATGAACCGGCAGAATGAAAAACCTTATCGGACGGTCCGAGGCGAAGAAGACACCGCGGGGGAGTCGCAATGCGCAAGCAACATTAATTAACCTAGGTACTTAGAATCGATGGATTTATTTACCGTATCACCATGCTGAGCTCTGCGTTCAAAAAACGGTATCGCTGTACGTTCGAGATACGCGACAACGGCCACCCGTTTTGATCGTTGACCACGAACCTAACGGTGTACAAAAATCATTTGTCCACTCTGTTTGACTTTAATTTAATTTTCCATTTCTAAATTACACCGTTACTAGGTTGTACGATGCTCCGCCAGTCTCGCGCTGACGATCCTATTATGCATGATCGCGACGCGCACAGGGAACCCGGCCACTAATTAAACAGCACAGAAAATCGACACACCGCGACGAGAGCCGAGAGAAAAAATTCACAGCCAAACGAAACACCGATTTATTCTATCGATAATCGCTTGATGCACCGATTATTTGTGTGTGTCTCGCATAAACTATACGTATCGAGACGATCCACGCTGAAGGATACGCGACGAGCGGAACCCTCGGCAGATACCAACGTTTGAAAAATTTCTCCGCGTCGCTGTCTCCGATGTCTACCACTAGAGAGTTATCAATTCTCGTAATACGATATACGTTACTTTGTGACAGAATATAAATCGCTACCGTTAACACTGTACGATTGTGGTGTGATGATTGAGCATTAATTTTTTATTTTAATCTACCAACATGGATAAAACTCCAATATCTATTTTACAAGAAACCGTTGCAAAATGCAATGTTCCTTTACCAGTGTACACAGAGATTTGCATGGCTGGAACTCATCAAACCAAATTTGTATTTCAAGTTAAATGGAGTGAGTATGTAGCAAAAGGTGATGGGACCACTAAGAAAGAAGCTAAGCAAAATGCTGCAAAGGAAATGATACGATTGTTGTCTTTGAAAACTGAAAGTCCTACAGAGAACTCAAGAGAACTTAATACGTCGGATTCGTCGGATGATACATTAAATAATTATGTTGGGCTTTTACAAGTAAATACATCCTGAAGCATCGTTTATATTAAAATATTATTGTTAGAAAATTATATTCAAGTATAATTATATTTTAGGAACATTGTCAAAAAATGAATTTACCGGATCCCTGTTACGAGCATTTTGGAACTACTGGGCCGCATCATCGACCTGTATTTGAAATACGTTGTACCGTTGCATCCGAACATAGCGAAGAATCTGCGAGCACAAAAAAGATTGCCAAACAAAAGGCAGCTAAAAAACTATTGGAACATTTATCAAAAAATAAACCAATAGACATCGATTCTGTGGACAAGCTACAAATAGAATATAAGAATCTTACGATAAATGACCTAGAATCTGATGCTGCACAACAAGACAAAGATATTTTGGATGCTTACTGTAAAATAAAGGAACTGTCAATTGGGACAAATGATTCTTTGAAAATCCAATATTACCATGTTATGTTTGCTAAATTGTGTAGTAACATTTCAGAAAATCAAAAACATTATTTAATGTTTTCACATGAAATGAAAGAAGATCACATCAATATAAACAGTACAATAAAAGTTATTCAGGACATTATGAAAGCAACTGTAAGAATGATTGAATTTAAATCAAATAATAGTGATAAGAGTATAGTTGGACTTAAGTTAACAACTACACCTGTATTGATTCAAATTGGTTTAAGCAACAACATGGAAAAAGCAAAAGAGAAAGCTGTATTTAAAATTCTTGAATGTATCGCTCTTTATATGAAATGATGTGTTAAATGATGTATAAATACTATAAAAATTTATTTGTTAACAAAATTTTATTGAGAATGATTAATATATTTAATAAATAAAGCTATTATAATTATGTAATTTATTTAATTGTTTAGTTATTGTCTGTGGGAACGAGTTGACTCGGTACTTGAATTCGACTTTACTTTCCGTTGATACCTAATTTTTCTTTTCATTCAACTATGGAATAATTATAGTGCAGAACAAAATATATTGGTACGGTATGAATTTTAAAACATTTCAGTGTATTATACATAAAAAGATTACAGTAAACGTAACAACGAGTCTGTTGTGTACGCGTTTTCTATTCGAAAATCTTATAGGGAAACCCGTACGTCGCACGCCGACTTAACTTTGTGCGAACTGTTTGGAAAGTGGACTGTATCTAATTACTTCAGTGAAGAATACTTTAGTGTTTATTTTTGCTTAGTTCAATAATAATCGTCAGCGGCGAGAGTATACAACGACGTCTATGTTCCGTCTTGTGTCTTTTTCAAAAAATTTCTTGTGTGTCTCGTCTCTGTACCTTGCGTGGGCTTTTATAAACCTTTTTTGGTAGGGGAGTACAAACTTTGTCCGAGTGGGACTCAACCGGTGATCCTGGAGGGGGTTACCGATTGCAGCCCCCGGGTGACCCACGCAAGGGTCTTGAACGTTTTTGACACTGACCAAAGCGAGTAATAAAACCAAGGATCGCCTCGACTTCTGGCAAACAGATGTAAGTTAAAGTTATGGTAAATCTACAAAACTGGCAAAACGTGCCGAAGCAAATACGACTAAATTATTGAAGTAATTGTTCCTTGGGCTTTTATTTCTGCTATGGTAAAAAATATTCAGGGCTCCAATGTGCCTCGCAGAAGGTGTCGTCAATAACCCTCCTAAAGAAATTTAACGACGCAACAGAGTCTATGTTTTCTGATAACATATATGATATCTACGAACACTTATAGACTCTCGATTACCGCATCCACATTCGAAAAAACGGGGCAGTCCCTAGGTATTTCACCAGTGTTTGTTTGAACCCTAGATAGAACTGCTCGCATACACACGGTTTCCAGTTGCTAGCGTGAGGGGAGTAAATTAGAGAGACACCTCTGAGCTAAAATAAATACTACAAGTCACTAGATTAATCGTAGTCATACTTATTTACAAGTTTCACAGTTGTCATCTATGTAGGTATTTGTTTAAAATATTTATTCGCGGTTTTCTTTACCACACAAATAATTTTACTATCGTCCGAAGTATTTGGTAATACAGCAAATTTAGTTGCATGATACACAGTACCAGGCGAATACATTTTTTGTTGCTATGACACCCTGTATATCTGTTTTCCCGCGTTACTCGGTACGAGGGCCTTGCACATTAATGCACAATCCGCAAAATGTTGAAGAAACGTATTGACGGGCGGCGTTTAGCACAAAATGTTGGAGAACAAGTAATATTACTTGGAACTATCGGGAAAGTAAGATATATAAGATGATATTAACACGTTGAATGCCGCACGATTTTACGTAGCAAAATACACAAAATGAAACAGCTATGATCATCAAATTATTTCACTGAATCGTTTTATTATTATTGCACGTTTATCTTATCCAAATATCGCAGCATTAGGTAGCATTGTCTATAATGTAAAAATGTTCGCAAGTAATCATCGTTTAATTGACTGAATCATAATTATTCGACTTGGCCGGGGGTCACCGGTGACCCCCATGTTATTCAACGTCTTAATAATAACAATAATAATGAACTAGAGTATAATGTTTCATTTTCCATGCCTTTACATGCTGAACGTTAATTGTAGAAGTCCTCAAACGGTAGGAATATGGAATTAAGGACAACCGATGGTGTATCAGTTAATGTAACTTTACCAGAACCTATCGATGGAAATGCTGAAGGATACGTAGAACTTCATGGTACGTTAAACTCAAAGTCCACAATGGCATGTAGCAACTATATATTATTACCACCAAGTATGACAGAGAAATTTGGTAAGTTACAACAGTTCTTTTCCTTTTATCATTCTTATTGTAAAATTGTAACAAAGAAAAGGTTTTACTACAGACACTACTCAGTACAATGAATTTATGGTTACATTGAATGTATTGGGACCAGAAAAATGGATGATGTTAGAAGACGTCACAGGAATATAAATCATTATTAATATACATTTTGTAAACTTCTTGTATGTATGTAATAGTTCTTACACACATCGTTACTCATGAATTCTTCTTTCGTAATCAATGTAAATGATCGTGTTGTATGGATAATATTAACCGGTATTTCTTTCGTGTATTAAGCTTAATTTATTAAATCTTTCGAAATAATATCCTAAAACTGAAACAGATAATGTAAATGCTGTTTAATATTTTTAGAATGTTTACGTGATCCTTACTCCTACTTTACACGATGCATCCAAGGAGAAACATCTGCAAGTACAAGATGTTACTGGACACTCAGAATGTTGCCTGTTTTAAAAGGATAACAAATTAGTTCAGATACGAAAATGTTGAGAAAGCTGCAGATGTGATTTGTATATATTACCGAAACCAATGCGTAATGTGATCAGCATGACCACCATGCCTACACGATTGACACCATGTGAACCAATTATTAAACTCCGTTAATTTGTTATCACATTCGTCGTTTCTATTAACGCCAGATGTAGTCATTTGTAATCCGCTTACGGTACCCATATGCATCAAACATATTGCACATCTTGGTAACGGTTTTCGACAATTTGGACATGAAGACATCTATGAAAGAAAAAAAGGAAAAATATGAAAAGTAGAAACCCTCGAAACAGTGGTATAGTTACCTATATTGAATATTGAAAAGAAAATATATTACCTTTAATTTGTTAGGCGTACTTCCTAATCTGCCAAAAGGTCCTCTTGCTCTACTCAGACCTTGCATAAATGCAGATATACTTTTACCACAAAAATTACAAGAAACATATATTTGTTGCGGAGGTTTTTCATTTGTCGAAGATCGCATCGCAATATCAAAATGTGCCCTCTGAGTCCACATTTTCCACGCGTTTAAAAGATTCCTATAGCTATGTTTGAACTTTAATTAATCATATTTTCTATTTTTATTAATAATTATTTCCTCGGGGATCATAGAAAATTTGAATACCTAGTTATCCATACTTGAACTTGTGTTTCTTGAAGTAATTTGGCTGTAAATGCTCTAATAGCTATGAGACTACAACTTTGAACGTCGCCTGTAATTTCTAGATATCGATTTAGCAATTGTATACCTTCCAAACTTGCACCTGAAATATATTATAGAATATATTATAGAATCTTAAAAGTTACATTGCGAACTACTGAATTCAAGGCGGTTGAACCTGTCAAGAGGAAACCAGATAAATTTCCCTCGTCTGTCAACTTTTGAGTCAACCTTTTCAAATATTCATTTAATTTGTTGTCTGATAAAAACATAAGTGCGAACGCGACCCTGTCTTCGACTGCCATGCCATTTTCATTCTACAAAAGCGAATATGGGATTATTCTCCTTAATACAAACAATTTACATTTACTTACTAAAACATTTTCATAAGAATCGTCCGCTGTTAGAAAAGCAAAAGTTGCTCTCAAATAAGGATCTGAAAGTTGAGATCTGCATTTCAAGCATGACTCTCTCCACATACTATTTCTATCTTCAGAGAATCCTGATAAGGCCATAGCAACAATATTTAAGTTTGCTGACATCGACATTTTACTTGCTCCGCGATTTAAAATTTCTATAGCTTGTCGCAAGCATAAATTAAACACAGCTATCGCAGCTGCTCTTGGGTATTCCCCGTCTCTTTCCAACCTTTCTAAGAACAAATTATCATAGAGGGTATTTGTATCTTTATCAAACCTCCAGCCGCACAAAAGTAATCCTTTATCTCTGTCCAGAGACCTGCAATGTGGTATATAATACTTCATATGAATTTCAATACACTCTAGTCATTATACCTGTAAATTTTTGCAGTGTAGTTGGATCCTATATCTGTCCAAGGTCGATACATCAATTCTGATTTCAAGAAACCATTAGTCCCTTGTTGACCATCCAATTTTAAAACTGTTCTATGTAATATTATTGAACATTAATATACATATATAATATACATATACATATACATATATATATATATATTGGAAAATATATGTATTGGAAACATAATTTTTCAAATAAATCTTTCATTTACCTAACACCCGGATGTTTGTTATCCTGACTAAGTATAGTGCCATCTTCGACCAAATAACGACTTAAGTATAACCACTGCCATAGGTTCTTCAGAGTATCATTTTCAGCCAATTCACCATTTTGAGCCAGCTCTGGCTATAAACATGTACGTGAGAACTTATGAACGAGGTATATTAAAAATTCCCTCAACTTACAAGTAATCCATATTCTGAAGCTGCGCGCGTTTTAGTTAAAATAGAAATATCATCCAAAGCTTTGTAAATGCTATCATTACTACATATGTATTTAAACGATTTAGAAGCATGATTCCATGCGAGGTGAGATCTTGTGGACCAGTTTACTGTAATCCTCTCACAAACTGTGTAATCTGTAAGTCCTTTGAAAACCACACAGAATGTTCAATAAATTTTGTTTAATTGTTTTTACAATTTAACAATAATACTATCTAACCTTGTTGCGATATGGCCAGTAATCTATATACATGCGTTGGATGCCATGAGAAACTTATGGGATTGTGCCAGGGAGGAGCAACAGTTCTTTCTAATGCTCCGGGCTCTGTGTCTTCTCCTCCACCGATTCCACAATGTTGAATGTCAAATAAATGCAGTGTCGCTACAATCGAGATAATATGAAATCTGTAGCATTGGCATTGTCAATTTATTTAAAAATATTTCTAAACTCGTTCTACCTGAATCTTTTTGTAAAACTCCCAGAAGATTGTGTCTAGTCGGACACCATAGAACCTTAGTAACTTGTCTACCTTGCAATAAAGTTAAAACAGGTTTTTCAAAACATCGAGTATCCCAAATTGTTATTTGATTGTCCACACTGGAGACTAAATGATAATTATTGTATGGATTAACAGACACATTATAAACTGCTTTGGTCGCTGCTGTATTTATTACTTTTGCAGAATCTAATACAAGAAAGAAAGAAAGAAAGAAAGAAAGAACAAAATTAATAAATTACATGTGTAGAATAAATGTAAAATAAATTCTATTATTTAATACCTCTAAAGTCAATAATTTTTAATTGCTTATTGTTTGCACCAACTACCATACATTTTTGTTCATGTTTGAACCAAGCAACAGAATGTATAGTTTCAGAAACACTAACTTCTGCGATAGGTCTTATAGAATCAGCTTGTACCATAGAATGATGATGTACTCTTTCAGAAGTTTGCAATCCTTTATTTATATCCCATAACAAAATTGAATGTTCCTTACTATGTTTATCTAAACCGGATACAATTAAGTTTGTGTCTATAGGATTCCATGCAACAGCGTTGCATTGCCTTGCATGTTTTGGAACTGCAACAATTATTTAATAGAAGAAACATATGTACCTTACAATTGTATAAGAAACAATTTACCTAATTCTTTTCCTGTAAAACCTTGCGAGTCAAACACTGTCGCGCCAAACGTAGTTAATACAACTTTTCCATTTGCTTGTCCTATAGCCAACAAAATATCAGGTTCCGGCTGTGGATATATATCGACACATTTAACATAATGATGATTTGTATTTGTAGCAAGTAAATGAGCAACTGTAGAATCAGAAATCTTTGTACCTACGAGGAGGAAAATATATAAGAATAATAATTTCTTTCCCTAATGATTTTATTACTAAAAACAGATGTATATGACTTTGAATAATATATACTCACATTGTTGCCTAATATTATCTTTTATTTGTGTAACTTCGTATAGACAAATCTCTGAACCCCAAGTAATGAATTTATTTGCATGGATAGGGGACCATTGCACATCAAGTTTAATGCTACCCATTTTGTTCTAGCTTTACATAATTTTACTAATATCAGTATAATGCATTTCTGTCTTTAATCTCGAATAAGAAAAACATTATACGAAGACTCCACCGATATCTATTCCTCATCAAATTGACAGGTAACCTCACATAAACCTCACCGTCTCACTGAAAAATTTTATTTCAATTTCATACGCCATTCGTTTGTGTTAATTATTTTGCGAAAAATTAACGATAAATTTACTAGCATGCTAATCAACTGTAATAATAATAGAAGTTACTTTACGTTCAAATATTTAATTGGTTGTTAGAAAATTGCATCTAAGTATGTATATCCGATTCGTATACACGGTGTTTAAAAATAATGATGCAATGTAACTTTTTCCGTTGAACTACTTTCTCGTTTGTAAGTAACATTTACAGAATCCTTTCTGTTTTATAATTGAAAAAGGAAGATACACTACTTTCGGTTCCATTAAAATGATTACTTTTGTACATTTATTAAATTTTGTGCAATAGGTGAAGTAATGGGACATGGCAATTAACATATATTTCGTACAATTCTATTGATTTATAAACCAGTTATACATAATTAATTTGTTTAAATATTTAGTGCAAAAGACACATGAAACATTTTGTATAATATATGTAAAATACATTTTATTAAAAAGCAACTATAGACATATGGTCGAATGATCGACTATAGTGCGTGAAATTACATAAAAAACGATTTACTCTTTATGACATAGTTATAACTCCAATATAAATACTTGAAAATATTTTGTAACATCATAACATACAAATATTTATAGGATGAAATATGGTTGAATCTATGCATACTGGTAAAATTGCTTCAAAGAATTCTATTAGAATAGTAATTTCAGTTCGTTAATATGTGATTACTGAGAAGGCACAATAAATTTCAATAGTAGAAAAATATGAAAAGTGAAAGTTGCACAGGATGTTATTTATTATCTAATAAACTAGCGCTAATAAACATCTTTTTAAACCATAATCATCCCGTAAAATTTGAATGCTTAATACATTTACATACATATATTGTAAAATAAATATATTGTGTAAAACTGTAAATATAATATCAAGCTATCCTTCCTATATTTTTGCATAAATAAATGCACCTCATAGAGGTTCAAGTCTTTTCAGAAAATTTCATGAACCATGCAGTCAGTCTATTGAAGTCTATTTCATTCACAGACTCAATGTTTTGCATTTAATTGTGTTCTTTCTTCTAGAAATACAACGCAGACTGGCAAAACAAATGAGGGTTTCAAGTACTTGCATGTACATTCGATAATCTTTCAATTTACAATTTAATTTAATTAACAAAAATCAAACTCAACGAATCCTTCGAATCTCGCGTAACGAAGATTACATCCAATTTACGAGGCAATACATTCGAATAACTTTAAATGAAATATACCTTCAGATAAAGATATTTTAATTGTAGAATTGTAGACAAATTCCTTTCCGTATCGATTGTACAAATTTACATATTGTAAATAAGTAAATTTGCACATTACAACAAGTAACTAATAAACAAATTGCAAATTAAACGTCATTCATCTTCAATTACTTTACAGTGTTGCGACTCTAGTAATGCGAAACGGACAGTGTGTGAACAACATTAAAAGTTCTTAATGTTTTACAGGTAAATATTTAAGAGTGCTGAAATCGTTTGAGGTTACAAATAAACGTACAAAATTGATCAGTGAAGAGATAATACTTTTATTTGCAGACAGAGTCGATTACAGTATGCTCATAATATTTGCAACTTTTTGAGAAACTTGTCTTTAGTGATCATAGATTATATGCACATAATCACTGTTCTTAATCAATTAAATCTTTACTTATACTAAATGTTAATTTCAATGATTGTACATATTTCAGCACTCTAAGAATGGTGTATGAAAAATATAAAATAATTTTACTGTTGTACAAAGTACATTTGTGCTCTACCAGAAACTTTTTACACTCTGTATTACAGTAAAATCTATGTCGTAAATCAGTAACAAGGAAAGTGTGGTTGTAAACAGCAGTACATCCTTAACGAATCGGTTATTTTATGAAAAAAAGAAAGAGGAAAAAAAAGAGAAAAAAAAGAAAGAGAGAGAGAGAGAGAGAGAGAGAGAGAGAGAGAGAGAGAGAGAAAAAGTACGAATTTTGTAAATCCGAATAGAATAAATATGAACAGTTCGCTAATCTCGATGTGTTTCCAACACAAAAACATTTAATCTGTTTTAATGTCATTCCACTGTAAAGTGTTCAAAAACGTTCGTGTATTTATATCACTTTTCTTACTCAGGTTTTCATATTTAGGGGCTGAACGTTCCGTTACAGAGGCTATACACATTAGTTTATATTCGTTAGAGCAAAACGCAGCAGTTTCTTTTCTTCTTACGTTCGTTTCCATCCCCTTGATTTTCCTGTGCTTTACGTGCGGCTATTGCACGCATTAAGTCAAAGAATACCTGTAATACGACAAACGAGGATCGTCGATCTTTAACGTTCACTTCAATCTGCCTATTAATAAAATGAATTCAATATATATCGTGGTATGTTAGATTATTACCTACTACATTTTAAACATCAACGTTCAGTGCTAAAACTAAACTTTCTGTTTTTGTTATTCGTCTGATTACCCATTGATGATTAATGTAAAACGTACTTATTAGTAAAGTATTCGTACCGACCGAATGTAACTAGAGAAAAACGATATATGCAACGATTTCTGTGAATCAACATGCGAAAGGGAATTCGCAACATAAAGAATTCGCAATATCATCCCAATACTTTTCGCTTCTAAAACGAGTATATCGAAAACAAAAATAGAAAGTGATTTTGTGCTTTTATAACTCGAAACATCGAAACAAAGTGATGCATGCATATGCAGTATTTCAGGCACAAGCAAGTGTCAACGTAGCAAGCAATATACAAGAATTCTTCTTTTGTACGTGCCTGTCTGACACTCTTGCAGAAGGTTGATACTTCTGGAATAACTGTTACCTGCTAAAAATTATATCCGTACATACTCACTGAGATCTCAGAAGAAACGAAAAGAACACTATAATTTATAAGAACTCTAATCGTCGTTCGGACGTTCGTTATAAGAGAAATTAAAAATAGTGCAAAAAAAAAGACATCGAACCTATAGAATAACGCACTTCCTTTTCTCCTTCTTCGCTCGGTCTTTTCCACGACCGTTACTTGCCGATTTGTCTTCGATCTTGCGCGACCTTATTTCACGCATCAAATCGAAAAATACCTGGAAATGTGCAATCGATGCCATTTCAAAGCTTCAAGGCTTGAAGAAGGTGCTTTATTGAACAAAATATGCAAATGTGCAAAGTGTATATGTATTGGGTCGTAACATAAATACGTTCGGATATACCCAACACTTTTTGTCTGATTAGTTCCACGAAGCACACTGAAATAGTAGTACCGAATTTAAAGCGAGCAGAAGTTGCTTTTTGTTCATCGCAATTATGGGTATTTCTAATAAATCCAAATGAAATCCTCAAGATTACATGTCCATACTTGCACCTGAACATATTTAAGTTACTATCTGATATATATCTGGTGCTTGTAATATATGTTTTCACAAAGTTGCATTTATGTGAATAAGCTACAAAACGTATGCATAGGAAGGAAAATATATAATCGATTACAAATTAAGCTAAATAAATATTCATCTCATGCAATTTCTTTGTGTCCTAAAGGCCTATAGAAAAACCAAATTGATGTAATAAAGAAGATATCTATGCAATACATATGCATTACACACTTTATATATAGATATATAGTTGTATAACCGTTAAGATCATCGATAAAATATTATTAAAATATTAATTACTGTACCAAATAAGATTCTTCCCTATGGTACATTCCTATTGTTTATACAATATATAAAAACAAAGAAATGCAACTGAGTTTAATCGTCTGTTACCTTATCAACATTCTCCTTTGTTTTTGCACTTGTTTCTACGTATGGTACACCCCACTGTTGCGATCTCGCTTGAGCCTCGGCTAGACTAACTTTTCTTTTCTCTTGTAAATCACTTTTATTTCCCACTAATAAAAATGGAATGTTCTCATCGTTTTTCACTCTAAGAATCTGTTCCCTGTGAATTTAAAATGATACATATCGCTTGCCTTTATCTACAGATTTATAGATTTATAGATTTATAGATTTATAGATTTATATATATATACGTGCATACTTTATTATTAATGGATACCTGAATTCCTGAGTAGCTTGAAAACTATCATCCTCTGTTATAGAAAAGACACAAAGAAATCCCTCTCCGCTTCGAAAGTAATTATCTCGAATTGCAGCATAGTCTTCTTGCCCTGCAGTGTCTAAAATGTCTATTTGTACTTCATCTCCATCCAATACAACTTTTTTCCTATAGGAATCTGCTTTTGTAGGTTCGTAATCCTCTACAAACTGACGGAAATATAAAAGGAAAGATATATGTTTAGATTGTATTAGTTTCTAGCTTTTTACAGATATTTTCCATACCTCGTCGTACATGAACTGTAATGTGAGGGCAGACTTTCCAACACCTCCACTCCCGACCATTATAACTTTATGCATTGCTTGTGTAGTACTTGGCTTCTTTGACATGTTCTAATTATCTGAACAAAACAAACATTGTAGAAATACAAAGTTATTACTAAGAAAAGAAAGAACATGTAATCGTATAAATATTTCATTGGAATTTCCACGCTACAGGTTCTTTTAGAAATTAACTTTATCGAAGGAAGTTGAGAACAGCAGGATGTTAAACTATTGTTGTCAATGCGAGAAATCTAAAAACAAGGTCAGGAATATGTATTTATATGTTATTTATCGTACAGAATGTACTTTTTATCGCGGTACAGTATGCATTTCAATGAAATTCGATACACCGAATTAACAAATGATCAGAGTTATAGAAATAATTATAAGGTACTATTATTAAATATGTAACGAATAGCAATTACATGTTCTTACTTAATAGCGTGTAATTATAATTTTCAGAGAGAAAAGAAATAAATCTCAGTTGATCGGTTACTTTTCATTGGGAAAATATGAAAACACGATAATATATCGTTTCGAAAGGAAGTGTAATGGTAGGGAAAGGGAACGATACGAAGGGTATGTAAAATAGTAAAGGTTATCGCGACGAAATATTTGAAAATGAAAGCACCTTTAACGGGATATTATAAATAGTTAGAAACGAAGAAAGGAGTAATGTCCGAATTATGTCCGAATAAGAAATCAAGCTTTCGTTTAACTTGTACGATTTGTGTTCATATGTTACACACAGCCCGACACATTGAACACAGAAAATGTTGAAACGGTACTCACGAAACCTGTGCACCCTAGACAACAGACGGTGAACGAGTTAATATTTGCATCGTGTTACACTCGTGTTCGAGAATGAGTAAAACGATGAAAAAAAATCTCTGAACGTACACGAATGACAAGTAATGAAAAAGGCGGTGCCACACGCCCAGTTTCAACAAACAACCACTTCGATCACGGCGTTTATCATAGAGCCGAGCATTAAGTTTCTTCGAAGTTAATTCCTATTATCAACGATGGACGAATATAGGTCGAATAAATACCTTCTAGGATCGCCTGTAGCAAAAACTTGGATATTCTTTCTACTAAGTCAGTCGTCGCGCTATTTCTTTACTATAACGCGACTGATAGTACCGATAATTAACTATAGAGGTACTGGGTTCACTCTACCGGCTCCTTCTTGTACCGTGGTACCGGTCCGAATATAGGTTTAACGGGCTTTAAATGGTACGTGAGAAAAAAATTGCTCGAATTACATTGTTTGGAAAAGCGAAGACGATCGTTGCTCTTTAAGAATCGAAAAGGAAATTGGAAATTGGAATATTCGAGAAGTTCCGAATTAGTTAGACGGTAGTGTAATTTCGATTCGAAGAGATTTAGAACTGGTGAAGCCTGGGCCTACATAAGTGGGTTCAAACATGACCGTCAACCACATTCATCGAACCCACCTCTCAATTGTTTAAGATATATACGTATATATGTCGTATACCTACTATACATAATATATATATATATATATATTTATTATTACTCGATAGTTGAATCGTGCGAATAAAGAAATTTAACCCTTAGAAGTTGTATGTATTTAAATACAATGTTAACTGTTCCGAAAGCTTTGTATCGTTTAGTACCGAAACTATCCGCAATTACCGGCGTGTTTGGACGCTGAAGCTCAACTGTCTTCATTAACGTTCCGAACGATCGAAATGTTCATTTTCATTAGATCGAAATAGATTTCTGTGTGAAGTTCGATTGTCGATACGCGAATGCGTATCCTCTGGTGACTTTTCCGACGTCGGACTCATTAGGTTCTAGTTCTAAATGTTTTTTATTGGTTGCCGCAACGAAACTGTCTAAATGCAACGTATTTTCGCGATACGCGCTGTTTTTCCTGCGTTAACGTGCTCGCCGCGAGTCGTTCGCAGGGGACTCGATGAAAAACCCATGATTCCATTCGAATTGTCGGCCCTTGTTTATCTACGATTAAAACCAGAAGGAATTGGTTAGAAAATAATAAAATGACGTCAAGAAAAGTCGCGTGATCGGTCTCGAGGCTACGGGACTGGTCAGAGGTATCTCACGCGACGACAGTGGTGTTCGCTTAAAAGTTCCTCTCCGGTGAACGATGAAATTTCCGAAATGTGGATACCGTGCGTCGATTTCTGGTTAAAAGATCTTTCCGTCTCGAGAAAGAAGGATTTCACGTAAATTCCGGGCTAGTCGACGCGTGCTCGAGGAAATCCCGATAAGCGGAGGGAAGCCATTCGATGAGAGTTACTGCCGAAACATTTCCTCGCTACTCGTCCCGCGAGTAATAATAATCGGTTCGAGACTCGAGATCCGTGCGTACCGTGGCATGCTCTAAAACTTTCGACTTTTCCGGCGCGCATTCTTCCAACTTGGCCCTATTTTACATCTCCGCGCGAGTATTCACCGTTCCGGACAATTACGAACAATTACGGACCAATAGTATTTTTCCTAGTTTTTTCCCCCCTCGCGGTCGTTCTTATTGCAACATCGAATCGACGAAATGACATTTTGTAGAATAAACGAATCGTAGGATGAAACCGCAGTGCCAGTGAGATTACCGTAACGAACCTTGGTGCGCGATTTAATGAACGAGCACATACCGTGAGTGCACGTAGTGCTAAGCCTGTGCCAACACCGAGACCGAGAGTATTCGTATTCTTGGGAAACGTGGGACCGACGAGGCACGATCATCCTACGGATCCAGCAGGAAACCTGTGTGCCCGATATCCTCGTAGAATGACCGACCCGAAAATCGAGATGCATTACACACCACCAACCTCGGACACTATCCAAACGAAACCCTTTCCCATTCGAGGTAAGCTATCCTCTTTTCTATAGGCGGTATATGGAATCGGGCTTTTTTATTTTAATTTCATAATGTATTACATACAATGATTATCATTATCATTACTACTATTACTATTAGTAGTATTAATAGTATTAGTAGTAGTAGTAGTAGTAGTAGTAGTAGTAGTAGTAGTAGTAGTAGTAGTAGTAGTAGTAGTAGTAGTAGTAGTTGTAGTTGTAGTTGTAGTTGTAGTTGTAGTAGTAGTAGTAGTAGTAGTAGTAGTAGTAGTAGTAATAGTAGTAGTAGTAGTAGTAGTAGTAGTAGTATTGTTGTTGTTGTTGTTGATGTTGTTATTATGACTATATACACTGATGTACGAAAATTTCATTTCTATTCTTTTCCAATTGTTTAATTTGTATTTTTCTTGGTTAGAAATCTCTGTTTTCGTACTCTCGACGTATTCGATACTCGCTAACCGTGCTGTCGAATTCTTCCGATATATTATCGAATGCTGCGGATTTAGTTGTTTTTGGAAAATTTCATTATCGCTCGTTTCGAACGGTAGGGGAGAATGAAAAATGTTGATTTTTGAAAAACCGCCTTTTCTATCCCTGAATCATTGTATATTCCGTTGCCCCTTCAGGAACATAACCTGAAAGGTTGACTATGTTGGATCACATGTACGTTATATCGAACGCATATGTTCATGTGACCTGGGCTTCTATTAATTAAGTAACCGAATTTTGTCGTAATGCAAAATCGACAGACTATCGTCCATTGTCAGGAGAATCGACTTTATTTATGAGCTTGTTTACGATTGTATAACCCCTCGGATCGGGCTATTTTTTTCTGTAGGCACTGTCGAGAAACGAAGATTATCTTATCGAACAAAATTTTTAAATTGTTCGTTTCATTGATGCAGCGAGTTTGATCAGCAGCATTGCGAAACGAATGCGATCTGTTATATAGATTTCGATACTTGTATATTAACATTTTCAAGTTGCTTTTCGCGCAGAAACAAAAATGTGTGTGTATATATATATATATATTTTATCGTCGTATCGATTTATCCGATATATCCTCCTCGCTTTATTCCCCAGATTATCTTAGCAAAACTTATTTATAATAAAAAGAAACATTCTTTTGTTTTTAACAGATTTTTCCCAGAGTGCGCGAAAATTTGACCGCTCGGTGTAACCCGAGAGAATCGGATACGCGCGCTCCTTCGAGTAGACTAACCGTTGTACCGCGATAATTGTACCTTGGTCTTTGCTCGATTAATAAAAAAGCAACCGGTGACCGATAAAATTAGTCGCGACAGATTGGACCACGATGAACGGTGGGGCTACACGGTTTTACGTGTTTGTCGAGTCGTTGTACGTATAATGGGTTATCTCCGAAATGGCCAACAGATAACGAAAACTGTTTACGTTGAGAAGTCTATCGGTAATTCGCAAGTGCGCGTTCTCCACCGTGATATTTTCAGAATACATATATGAATCTTATACAGTCCGATAATACTACTGCCGCTGCTATTACTGCTACTATATAATGACAATAATAATAATACTATGTATAATATATCATTAAAATATATATATATATACGGGTGACTCAAGTTTATGTTCCTCGATGCACGCACCTCGTGAATACCCGATTGAATTACCCCGAAATCTCGAGTTGGTGAAAATAGTCAACAGGTCATTAATAGCACTCACCAGCGAACAGAAATTGCGTAAACTTCTTTGGATGGTGGTAGCATTCTGATTTCTCGTAAATGTCTAGTAGGTGTCTAGGAAGATTTGGATAGTCTCCTCGAATAGACTGACGGTAGCCATTGAAATTCTTTCGGATCGGATTCATTGTCATTTTTCGCGACTGACGCGTCTTCGTGAAATATGCGGCTACCAAGTATTCGGCGTGAAACTTACATAGGCGATCGTAAATCGTAAACTTAATAGTTCCCGCGCAAACGACAATATGTACCGTTCGTGTTGCTAACGGACAAACTGCCAAAGATAAAGGAAATATCAAGTGAGATTTTCCATGAAACATTCCTGTGTAAAACGTTATCGAACCGTTCGATTTATTTCGACCGAACGGCTAGTTTATTTTTAAATTATATCGCGTACTTTATTTTCCATGTACTCTATACGAATACCGAACGATAAGTAAAAAACGGGCAAAGCACGCGCAACGAACGATCAATTACGATTCGAGATTCTTCGGCTATCTCATACGGGGTAAAAAGTTGATAATGATAATGAAAGTATCTGGAACGACTAACAGTTATTGATCTGCGGATTTCAGATGCATTTCTGATATATTTTATTATTTTATTATTTTATTATTTTATTATTTTATTACTTTATTACTTTATTACTTTATTATTGAAATAATTATTTCTGATTAGAAAACGTAGCTTTGCTGATAAGAAGTTTCGTTGATCGGTGATTTCAGGTGAACGAGCAAACTTCGTGAACAAACCTCATGTGATCGCAATGGTCGGTTTGCCGGCTCGCGGTAAAACGTATATATCGAAAAAGCTCTGCAGATATTTGAACTGGATCGGTATCAGCACGAAGGTGTTCAATCTGGGGGAGTACAGGCGGCATGCGACCACTGCTTACCAATGTCACGAATTCTTTCGTCCTGACAACATAAAAGCGATGGCGATACGCACTCAGTGCGCGATGGATGCCCTCAAGGATGTCTGTCAGTGGCTCGAGAGTGGAGATGGCGAGGTGGCAGTTTTCGATGCCACTAACTCTACCATAGAGAGACGTCAATTGATTCATGACATCGTTGTGGAGAAGATGGGCTTCAAGCTCTTCTTCGTCGAATCTGTCTGCAACGACCCAGAGATCGTTGAACAGAATATTATGGAGGTACGTTGGACTGAATTTCAAACGGTACACGAAAGATCTATGTCCTCGTAACAAGACCCGTTCCCTGTTCGTTTAGGTGAAAGTAAGCAGCCCCGACTATGCGAACATGAACAAGGAGGAAGTGTTGGCTGACTTCATGTTAAGGATCGAACACTATCAAGAAAAATACCAGCCACTGGACGAGAATCAAGAGAGCGATCTCTCCTTCATGAAGATCTACAATACTGGCGAGAAAGTATTGGTCCACAAGCATGAGGGTCACATACAAAGTAGAATAGTTTACTACCTTATGAACATTCACATAATACCGCGTACAATCTACTTAACCAGGCACGGGGAGAGCAAAATGAATCTTGAAGGTAAGATTGGCGGGGACTCGGAACTGAGCGACAGAGGTTGGGAATACGCTAAAGCTTTGGCTTGCTACATCACTGGTCAGGATATTCAGGTAAGAAGGGAGAGTCGCAGACTGTTGCGTCGACCGAGGAAAGAAAACTAACGGGAACTCTACCGATTCAAGGGTCTGCGAGTGTGGACGAGCTGGTTAAAAAGAACTATACAGACGGCGAACGACGTGAACGTGCCTCAAGAAAGGTGGAAAGCGCTAAACGAGATTGACGCGGTAAGCAGCCGAAACGAAAGACTTTGTACGGACAGTCCAAGATCTGTTCCAAAGAGAGCACGTTGATTGCTTCAACTTCTATTTTCATTATGCGACTAAAGTAACTATCCGTATTCTGAGGACGATACACGGTACCGTGTTCACAGGGTATCTGCGAGGAGATGACATACGAGGAAATCGCGGCAAAGTATCCGACAGACTTCGCGGCAAGAGATCAAAATAAATTTTCGTATCGTTATCCGAGAGGAGAAAGCTACGAAGATTTGGTCGCGAGATTGGAACCGGTGATAATGGAGTTGGAGCGACAAGGAAATGTTCTGGTCGTTAGTCATCAGGCTGTCTTACGGTGTCTGCTCGCCTATTTTCTGGACAAAAGCGCAGGTGAGCTATTCAAGTGCGTCCGTTCCCGACGAGAGACAAAAACCCGGTAGAGAGAAAAACAAATGTCCATTAACCTTTAGCACTTCTGGTATCACAGTTTCTTTCTTATTTATTTTTAATATTAATTGTCATTAGATTTTACATCTTCCTCCTTAGAACAAAATTTGCATGTCCAGCGAATGCAACGATCCTAGAGTAGTTTCTTCGATTTTGTTCGTTAAAATCGTTAATACTGTAAACGGTGGCACGGTGGAGCCTATAGATTGGAAACGCACTCGCGTCGCATCGAAGAAACATGAACGGGAAGTATCGAGCAGAATTATGTAACCGTAACCTTCAACTTATCGAAATGAAATAGGAAAATAAATACGTCTAAGAACACCGAGATCTATAATGCCGTGCAGTAATACGCATAGCAGACGTTCAAGGCGTCGCGGCGTTCTTGTTTACATAATGTTTTACCGTCGCAATTCTGCGTGGATCGTACCTATATCTCGTCGAGGTGATTTTCAATCAACGATTTAAATGCCAATTGAAAGTTCAATTTTAACCATTTCAAATGTCTCTTTCATTTGATCCGCGTAAAATTGATATCTGTAACGTGTATTAAAATCGTTCGTCGATTCAATTATTTTTACAGACGAACTGCCGTACCTGCAAGTACCACTGCACACTATCATAAAATTAACACCCGTCGCTTACGGTTGTAAAGTGGAACATATTCGATTACCCATCGAGGCAGTGGACACGCATCGCCCGAAACCAAAGGTAGAAACGATTAGATTTGAATCATAGTAATCGTTCTTACACTTTTCCTCCCTCACCCCGTATGTAGATATAATATCCTGCGCATAACTTGTTGACCCGAGGTATGGAAAAGTAAAAATTCAAAAGACAAGTAGTCATATACCTTGCTCATGCGCCGCATTAATAAAATACGACAAGCCCTTACGTTTTTTTTTCTTTGTTTTGATGTTCCCAGAATGTCTGACCCACTAAACTGGATTGGAATCACTTTCTTGTATCTAATATTGTACCTAATGTATCTAAACGTAT